TGGCTCAGATCATGATCTCAGGGTTGTGAGATCGAGCCCCGCATTGGGCTGTCCATGCTGGGCATGGAGCCTGCTTGGGATTCTCTCGCTGCCCTTTCTCCCTGACCCTTAAAAAAAAAAAAAGAATCCTCATGCTCAAACTATAACCCAGAGCAGTTAAATCAGAATCTTGAGGTGAAACCCAAGCATCTGGAGTTCTATTTTATTTTACTTTTTTACATTTTTTTTATTTTTTACTTTATTCTTTTAAAGAATGTATTTATTTATTTATTTGAGACAGTGGGGGGCCAGGGACCAAGCAGACTCTGTGCTGACCACAGAGCTCAACACAGGGCTCAATCCCATGACCCTGAGATTATGACCTGAGCTGACATCAAGAATTGGATGCTTAACCAACTGAACCATGCAGGTGTCCCTAGACATCTTGAGGGTTTTGTTTTTTTTAAGATTTTATTTATTTATTTGACAGAGATCACAAGTAGGCAAAGAGGCAGGCAGAGAGAGAAGGGGAAGCAGGCTCCCTGTTGAGCAGGGAGCCTGATGTGGGGCTCCATCCCAGGACCCTGGGATCATGACCTAAGCCAAAGGCAGAGGCTTAACCTGCTGAGCCACCCAGGTGCCCCACATCTCGAGTTTTAAAAAATGCAGGTGATTCCAGTGTTCAGCCGAGTTTGAGAACAATAGGTAGATAGATGATGCACACATGTAAACTGTACATCAAGGTGCTTCATAAATGAGACGTGTTAGTAAATTGGTGATGACCGTAGGTTTATGGTTTCCTGATCACCAAGTCTGTTTATCACAGAACATCAGCACTTACCGTATATTCTCATTGAACATAAAAATGAAAGGAAATGGTGTAAACCAGAGAACAGCATGGAAATAGGGGGAATTACTGGAAGCCAGGTGTTGCCACTGTAAAGCAGAGCAGAGAAGGCTGTAGATGGGGAGTGAGTGGTGCTCGGTGCTGGGGAATAGGGGTCAAGGTGAAGGGAGCCGGGGTGCTGAGTGTCATATGTTCCCTGCCTCACAGCTCATAGAACTGATGCTAAGCCCAAATACCTCAACTTAACAGGATGAGGATGCTTGTTGCCATGAATCTAGCTGCTCTGCCACCAGCGTCCCCGCAGGGGTGGGTGATCCGGGACGTGCGTGCTGGCAGGCGTGTATACGGGTACTTTTTTGTCCTCCCTTTTTCTCGGCTTCATTATTCTTCTCACACCTTTGCCTATGCTCCCTTTCTCCAGGTTCTTAATTATTTCCTTTCTGCTTTCACTTTATTGTTCAATTAATAATTGTCACAAACTCACTGTATGCACAGCATTGGGTGCTGTGTGAGGGGGTGGGGAAATGCAAGCAAGAAATAACCCAAGAGCTAATAATACAAGCAGCTAATACTTACGGGGGACATGTTCTGGGCCATTCCAATGTGATACATGCATTATCTTGCTTAATTTCCATGGTAGTCGTGTGAGGTAGGTATTTTTGCTGGAGATAGATGGAGGCGCCCGGAAGAGAGGTCACCTGCTCAAGGTCAGGATTCGGACTTGGGTGGTCTTGCTCCAGGGCCCTCCCTCACGCTTTCATGACAAGTGCAGGAAGGAAATACAACTGGGTCAGTGACTGAGTTGAGGAGTGGGGGAGGGGCCAGTCAGGGACTTCAGATTGGGGATGTCAGGGAAGGCCATCCTGAGGAGGGGACTATCTAAGGGAAGAATATGGCAGACAGAGGGGACAGCCAATGCGAAGAAGCTGAGCCTGGTGGCTAAAGCACGGTGTTGTGGTGGGATAGCCAAAGGAGAGATTTTGGAGGGAGACGGGGGCCCAGTTGTGTTGGGATCGGCAGACAGTGGGCTTGACTTTACAGAAGACCACGGCGGGTTAAGCAGGATAGTGATAGGAAGGATGTGATTTATATTTTTGAAAAGATCACTACGTGTGGAAGAAAGGCTTGGACAGATCAGACATGGAAACAGGGCACCCATCGGGAGACTCTTGTACCAAGAGCCAGGAGGTGGTGGGAGTTTGGCCCAGGGTCAGCAGTGAAGAGAGAAGTGGACGGGTTAGGGTACATCAGGAGGCAGAGCCGACAGGACTTGGCTGAGCCAACGTGGGACTTAGGACAAGGGAATCAAGGGTGCTTCTTGGGTTCTGACCAGAGCATCTGGGTGGCCGAGATGTGTTCTCTACTGAGTTGAACAAGATGTTGGGGTGGGGCTTGGTGTGGAGGGCAGGTTTTTGAAGGGAAATTCATTCTGTTCTGGCCATGTGAAATTTGAGGTTTTTGTTGGACACCTGTCTGGGCCTGGACAGGGGAATTTGGAATTAAGTGGAGTGGCCTGGCTAGCATCCCACAGGGAAACAGAAGCTGGCCCAGGATGCTGGGCCACACAGTCCCCCCTAAAGAGTTGTAGAGACCAGGAGCCTGGGGAAAACAGACTCATTGGAGAAGTCCCAGTCAAGGAGGAGCCGGTGAATAAGTTACAGCCGAGCAGCACCTTGAAATGCAAGAGAACTCAAGAGAAGGGAAATCCTAGGGCTTGGGGCTTTTGCGTGTGAGCCTTGAGTGACAGGCAGGGTTGGCCGAGGCAGGAGGGGGATATGGGCTGGAGACTGCATTCCAGGTGGGCTGGACAGGGAGGACAGCAGAAACTACAGCAAGCCTACAGCAGAGGCTCTTTAGGGAAGTGGGATGGGCTCCAAACTGAGAGGCCAGTCTTAGGCCTCTATGCCCGAAGGGACCCTGTGTGCCTGCAAGTGTGTGGTCTGAACTTGGAGCATTTTCCTGTTTTATCTAAAAAATGCAGGAATTCTGCATTCAACTTCCTAGTTTATCTGGGTTTCTTTCACTATAAAAAGGGTTTTGTTTTATTCTGTTTAGTGCTTTGCTTTGAGTAGAAATAGTCCGGGTAAGGCACTTTCCATTTACCCTGGAGCTTTGGTACCAGGGGGTCCCCTCGGGGTCTAGATGCACCATCTTGGAAAACTCTGCACACTCGGCATTGGGAAGGAAGGGAGTCATTAATGGGGTATTTTAGGAGGTGCAGGCTGCTGATCACACCTGAACCAAGCGGGGATTACATGGAGGAGGGATCGGGGTAGGAAGAGCATTTATGGGGATAAGCTCCTGCTGCAGTTTAGGGGTGAGGAGATAAGGGCCTGGTTTAGGGTGGTGCAGTGACGTGGGAGCTAGAGAAAGGTCCGAGAGACTTGAGGCTTCTGACGTGGGTGACTGGGACTGGGGGGATGCGGTGGGCAAGGCTATTTGTGAAGAGGCTGAGTCTGGGGAGATGGGAGCACCGAGGAGCCAGGCGAGCAGATGGAGCTGGGAGGAGAGGCTACAGCAACGTTCATAGTGTCCAAGGCCAGCCACCTGGTGGGGGAAAGGCACCCTGTGGCCCCTAGGCCTCCTTCCTCTCCAACCTTCTTGCTTTCTCCAAATCCTTCTTGGCACTTGAATCATCTCCTGTTTCTTGGTTCACTTACCCATTCCCTCCATGTGCATCCCAGCAATAACGAAAATGAGGCCACTATCTTGACCAACACATTCTCAAAGGCAGCTGTGATTTGGGCCAATCCCAGGAAAGCCCACAGAAGCCAGAAAGGTTAGGGTCGGTTGGCTCTGGAGCAGGTTCGTGCCTGGCCTTCCGCATTGTCAGGGATGGGTGCTAGGTGATTTACCAGGACACCAGTGTCCTCTGCTGCTCCCCTGCTGTCCCTGAGCAGCCCCTCCCTCCCCCGCCAGTCTTGCTGGAATGAGTATCTGACAACTCGGATTGAGCAGAACCTTGTGTTGAATTGCACCTGCCCCATTGCTGACTGCCCTGCGCAGCCCACCGGAGCCTTCATCCGGGCCATTGTCTCCTCACCGGACGTCATCTCCAAGGTAGCCCCTCTTCTGTGGGAGGCTGTGCTGCACAGCCAGAGCGATGGGCCCCAGGGAGTGGACTGACGTGCATGGGGTGGGATGGGGAGGGGCGGTGGTTATGGATGTATGGCGTCCTGGAGAGCCGGGCCCTCACCGGGTGGCGTCTGTGTCCCCACAGTATGAGAAGGCCCTCCTGCGTGGCTACGTGGAGAGCTGCTCCAACCTGACCTGGTGCACCAACCCCCAGGGCTGCGACCGCATCCTGTGCCGCCAGGGCCTGGGCTGTGGGACCACCTGCTCCAAGTGTGGCTGGGCCTCCTGCTTCAACTGTAGTTTCCCTGAGGTGGGTGCCTACCTAGCCATGCCCCTGAGCATGGCCTGCACCCCTCCCCTGCCAGCACTCCTCTCCATCACACACACACACACACACATATATACAATCACAGGCTATGCCTTGTCCTTACGCTTTGCCACCAGCTCGAGCTCTGTTCCTCCCCCTGCAGGCCTCCACATGTGACCCCCCTCCCTTGCACACCTGCAGCACCACCCTGGGCCCGGGCTCAGGGCTCAGCCTTGTCCTCCCTGCCCCCTCCTGCTCTAGGCACACTACCCTGCCAGCTGCAGCCACATGTCCCAGTGGGTCGACGACGGCGGCTACTATGACGGCATGAGCGTGGAGGCCCAGAGCAAGCACCTGGCCAAGCTCATCTCCAAGCGCTGTCCCAGCTGCCAGGCTCCCATCGAGAAGAACGAAGGGTGTCTGCAGTAAGAGGGGGTACTGCGGGAATTGAGGGGGGTCAGAGGGCATGGGACAAGGTGGGAGGCCTGGTGGTATGGGGGCAGGGGGCCCATGGGGCTCACCAGAGAGCTGAGCAGAGGACAGCAGTTACTCAGCCTGGTCCTGGTGCCCTCCAGTGACTCTTGCTCCTTAACACTCCTTCCCCTATTTTTAAGTCTGCACCGCATGGGGCTGGGAAGCTCGGGTGCGCTCACTAGGGCTTGGTGAGGTTAGAGACTGTCAGGGCACAGAGGGGCCAGGGCGGGTTCGGTGGGGCCTCCAGGTTTCATCTGGGGGCTCCTGGTGTGGCCCTGACCCGGGGCAGAAGCCCTCTGACCAGCCTTCCTCCATAGCATGACCTGTGCCAAATGCAACCATGGATTTTGCTGGCGCTGCCTCAAATCCTGGAAGCCAAATCACAAAGACTACTACAATTGCTCTGCCATGGTAAGGGGCTGAGGCCGGGGCCAGGGGGCCCCAGCACAGCCGGCATGGGATGTGGCTGCAGGCCCTGGGCAGAGATGGCTCTGTGTCCTGGGCAGCCGAACAACTGTTGGGACGGAGGCTCTGTGTGAAGACCGAAGCCACCTGGGCCGACACGTGCTGGGAGTTCTGTCCTGGGAGGGCTGTGCATTCCCGGAGGCACGAGGCCAGAGCCAAGCAGAGCCCATGCCTCGCGTCAGAGCCTGGCACCCCTGCTTAGTAGGTGGCTTTGGGCTGGTTTCTGTGCCCACACCTTGGCATCCTCCCCTGCAGGGGGACCTCCTTCCCAGAGTTAGGATTAGATGGAAAGGTCTGGGTGAAGCGTCCGAAGGTCTGTATGCAGGGTGCCTTCGCCCCACCCTGCCCATCAAAGCGCCCGAGAGTCCTCCCTCTCAACCCGTCCTTCCCAGGTTAGCAGAGCAGCTCGCCAGGAGAAGCGGTTTCAAGACTATAACGAGAGATGTACTTTCCATCACCAGGCCCGGGTGAGCAGGGAGGGGACAGTTTCGTGGGTGAGAAGGTCAGAGGGCTGGGGTGGAGGGCTGCCTGCGGCGCTGATCTACCTCACCCCTGCACAGGAGTTCGCCCTGAGCCTGCGGAACCGCGTGTCTGCCATCCACGAGGTGCCGCCCCCCAGATCCTTCACCTTCCTCAGTGACGCCTGCCGGGGATTGGAGCAGGCCCGCAAGGTGGTGGGATGGGGAGGGGGGATGGGGCCAGGGGCTCTGGCGGGGATGGAGGGAGTGGGGCGGGGAGGGAGGCAGTGCTGAGGTTCAGCAAGGCAAGGGCTGACTT